TGATTTCATTGGCAGCCACCTATTTTGACTTTTCAACAAAATGGAGCCTAACAGGAAGCTAATTAGAAATATGACCTTATTATACACCAAAAGTGAATACACACGAGAGAAATTGTGGTCAAATATTAGTTTAGTAGTTGAATGTCCAAAACTAATAAGCCTTAAAATTATCCAAATTGTTGATACCTCGTAAACTAAGTAGTTAGTATCTTTTTTTCATTTTAGGGTCACTTGGTATGTGTTTGACATGTAAATAACTACGACGAGTTTTAAGGACGATATAGATAGCGAACATTGGACAACATTTGCTGTTACTAGATCTACTCAGTACTGACTACTGAAAATTATTTTAGGTTAAATATAAGGCGGAAAGACAGACTCACTTGTCGTAGCTGCGCATTAACTTCAGCAAGAAACCCTTCATCCAGCTGTCCTTCTTGCTCCCTTTGACTTATTTCCTAATAATTGGAACTTAAAATTTACATAGATAGAGGATTTGCTGAAAATATTTATGAATAACCAAAACAAACCACTGGCAAATATAATAGTTTACGAAAATGAAATCTCTTCATTTACTAGAGAAGAAAGACTAAAACAATGACAAATATCCATGATTCGGCAGACACTTATTTACTTTTGGCTTCACAAATGAAATGGTTATATGGTGCCTATCTCATTTAAACTTGCATTACAGAGGAGTAGAAGAATACATAACGAATTATTTACCCATCACCCTGTTGTTTATTACTGCCATTAATCATTTGGTGGCTCAAGTCTAATCTAATTCATATTTTGCAAAACCTGAAGGTGAATGAAAAAGACTCTCTCAAAGATGGAATGCACATTAAAGTTCATGATGAATGAAGACTGAAACATGTATCAAATGTTGAGATTTAGCATAAAGGTAGTCAGTAGAAATCCATGCAACAACTAAAAAAAAATACTATTCAAATTAAGCCTAATGTTGACAGATGACACAAGTAGAGCATTGCTGACTGCTTCACAATATATCAAAGTGAAGGGGGATATACATAGTATAAAATTTAGAAGAAAGTTCTTCCAATAAAATAGGTCACTCTTGCTAAAATCAATGAGAAACAGAACTCACCTTTTCCATCAATGTGAGTGCCCGCGGATCTCTAGGAGGCCATGGAATCTCTCCTTCATCATCAATCACAGGTTTTAGTACTCCCTTTAGGACATCTGTGGAAGATTCTATCTTTTCCTGCAAAGTAAGCACATAAAAACAAGATTATTGTCAAAAGAAGCTTCAAAGATAACCCAACAACTTTTGAACAATGTTCAACTAAATGAAGAGAGAGGTGTACATTAGTCTTGTGCACCACGAGATCCACCACACTCATGACTGTCGCAGCCAATTCTTCATAATCTCTCTGCATATCAACAATAAACAAAAGCAATTAGTGTAATGAAAGAACTACACAGAGACTGACTAAATAAACATTTTCGAAATTTCAGAAGTGTACTTTATCATCCTCAGACTTGCAAGTATCAGATCTTGCTGCAAGTCGCACCCAAAAGCTTGGATTGAAAGCGAGGATGTTTTCGACAACAAGTTTCTGGAGCTGTTTACAAAATGAAAAACAAAACAACATTGATGCCATTGAAAAACGTTATCCAAAACCAATCAACCAATACATAAAATACAAGTTCAAATCACATTTCCATGAGCTACATCTGCTATAAAATGTGGTTAAATAAATCGTACTTCGTGAGGATTAGCTTCTCTGAGCATATCTATGAGCCTATCAATTTCAACAGTCTTCTTAAAAGCTTCCTCGGCTTCTTGACTGGCTGCACATATGAAAGTTGTCCTGTTTTTAGATCCAAACACGGCAATTCACTATTCTGAATTTTGATAGTTTCATCAAATATTAGAATACAGTACTAGACTACTAGTAGCCTGTTTGGATAAATTTATAAAAGGATAAAATATAAACAAAAAATGAAATTAGGTTCACTAACAAGTTAAATTAATTTATGCATAAACTAAAATTAACTTACAAATAAGCTAATTTATAGAAACTCTCTCGCTGAAAACTAATTAACTCATGCATAAGCTAATCTTAACTTATAGAAAGTTTATTTCATTTTCCTTCCTAATTTTATCTTCTCTTTTTAAGTGTTTTCGAAAAAATTTATCCAAACAAGTGCTAGAAGTGTAAATAAAACAAAGCTTAACATCACATCACATGATACAATAGTTAATCAATGAATAATAATAATCACTAATCAGTGACAGCGAGCACGATCGGTTACTACCTCCTCTTCGAATTCAAGTGAAATGGCGTGAGCCTCAAGTTCAGCCTATGTTTCCGAAGTTTGGAATCTTGCGGCAGTGCAACCTAGAGATGACAGCATAGTAATAATCATAAACAGGAGAATTAAATAGCGCAAATGAATCCATAACAGAAGAATGGAAGAAAGTACCTGATGATTAGGAAAAGGAGAATATACAGAAGCAAACGATGAGACACAGAAAGCGTTGATTCTCATTCTCGGAATGGTAATTAGTTACTTCAATGGCGGGAGAGAGAGAGAGAGAGAGAGAGAGAGCTCTAGTGACGCTTCAAGTTTTACGCATCCAAATACCAACCATATACTTCATTACCTGTTCAAAAAATTTCTTTTTAATATTTTAATATTTTATTGTCCATACAAAAAATCATTCCTAGGCTCAAAAAGCGCCTTGATAGTCATACAAGTATGGGCCGATGACCTTGAAAAGAAGAATGAGAAGCCCATCGTAGTTGGTTGGACGTAGGCCCAAACTAATAGTTTACACTGCAGGCCCTTCACTTTGTTATTAATATTATTATGTGTTTGTCACCAATGCATGGATCAATTCATCAATGGATTGATCATTCATATGAGATTATTTCACTCTGATCAATAATTTCAGGTTATAATTTCTATAAAAAAATATAGATAATATTATATGCTCAGTTAGATATCAAGAAGATTTAATTCAATTGATTAAACACAAGTGGTTGTAATATGTTGTGCGCGTTTAGGTAAGAATTTGCAAAATTAATTTGTTGGTTAAAGTTGGTTTTAAAATTTGTTTGAATGTTTTTATCTTGAAAGGATGTTTGATGCAGAAATTAGTGTAATTAGTATTTTAGTATGTAAGATGTATATGTATATTTATTATATATAATTAAAATTTATAATAA